CCATGGAGTAATTCCTCCATCCAACCTAACTCCTGGTAAGCACAGATCTGTTCTGTTGCTATAGTTTTGCCTTTTCTGAAATGTCATATAAATGGAGTCATACGGCATGTAACCTTTTGAGATTGTCTTCCTTCACTCAACATGCCTTTGAGATCCATCTGTGTTGTTGCACATACCAATAATTTGCTCCTTTTTATTTCTGAGAATTATTTCACCATATGGATATCATACAATTGTCCTACAATTTGTACATTCATCTGTTGGAAGAAAAGGGGTTGTTTACAGTTTTTGGAGACTATGAATAGAGTTGATATGCACATCTGTGTACAGGTTTTTGTGTGAACACACATTTTCATCTCTCTAGGATAAATACCTGTGAGTAGGATTGTAGGGTCGTATGGTATGAGTATGTCTAACTTTATAAGAAACCGCCAAACTATATTATAGAGTGACTGTACTGTTTTGTAGTCCCACCAGCAAGGACTAAAGTTCTAGTTGCTTTGCTTCCTTGTCAGCACTTAGTGTTGTCAAGTTTTTTGTTTGTTAATTTCCCCGTCTTCAGTGGTATCTCATCATGGTTTAATTTGCATTTTCCTGTGGCTAATGATGTTAAGCATCTTTCATGTGCTTATTTCCCATCTGTATATCCTCTTTGGTGAAGTGTATGTTCAAATCTTTTGCCATTTTTTTTAATTTATTTTTTTATCTTATTGCGGTCACATTAGTTTATAACGTTGTACAAATTTCAGGTGTACATCATTATACTTCTATTTCTGCATGGATTACATCATGTTCACCACCCAAATATTAATTACAATCCATCACCACACACGTGTGCCTAATCATCCCTTTCGCCCTCCTCCCTCCCCCATTTCCCTCTGGTAACCACCAATCCAGTCTCTGTCTCTATGTGTTTGTTTGTTGTTTTGCCATTTTTTTAGTTGGGTTGTTTGTTTCCTTACCATTTGGTTTTGAGGGTTTTTTATATATTCTGGATATGTCTTTTATTGGATATGACATTTGCAAATATTTTCTCCTGGTCTGAACCTTATCTTCTCTTTCTCATAAGTATCTTTCACAGAGCAAAAGTTTTAAATTTTAATGAAGTCAAATTTATCATTTTTTTTCCTTTATGGGTTGTGCATTTAGTGTCATATTGAAGAACTCTTTGACTAACTGCAAGTTACAAAGATTTTTCCCCTATGTTTTCTTCAAAAACTTACAGTTTTATGTTTTACATCTCGATCTATGATTGATTTTGAATTAATTTTTTATGAAATCTGAGGGTTTTTGCATATAGACATCCAGTTGTCCTAACACCATTTGTTGAAAAGACAATATTTTCTCCACTTAATTGCCTTTCCACCTTTGTGAAAAATCAATTGAACATATTTATATACGTCTATTTCTGGACTCTCTATCCCATCCCATTTATCTACATCTCTGTCTTCACCAACACAACACTGTCTTGGTTACGATAGCCTTTATAATAAGTATGAAAATAAGGTAGTATGGATTCTTCAACTTTATTCTCTTTTTCAAACTTGGTTAACTACTTTAATTTTTTTGTCTTTCCATGTAAATTTTAGAATCAGTTCTGTACATTCACAAAAATTCTCGGTGGAATTTTTATTGGAATTGCATTAGATCTATAGATCCCATTCATAATAAAATATGTACAACATGTTTTAAAATTGTACAACACAATGATGTAATGAGCACACATGAACCAACTAGTTAATCAAAGAAGTAGAACATTAAAATTTGCATCTATCTGTATGCGTCTCTATCTTATATCCGTAACTACTTTTTTCCTTGATGCAGCCACTTACTCGAGGGCAGACATTCCAATTTATTGAATTCCTGGGTCTTCTGAATCACCTTACCTTCTGCTTGTGATTTGGCTATTGGAATTTTACTTCTTATGGTGGCCTCTTCTAAAAAATGTCAAGAGAGTAGAAGAGGAGGTAAACTTCATACTACCTTAAGAAAACATATTTTGTAGCAGCTCCAATGATGAACTAATTTTTCAAGTTAAAGATCAAGTTTAAGGAGGTTTAAATTTTAATGTTAAATGAAGTAATGGAATTGAAATAATTAGTTAATACATCTATTCAATCATTTATTCCTTCTGAAGTCCCATAGGAATGAACCAGTACCCTTTTTGTAAGATACCTATAATGCTCTACATTGCATTACATTTATTTCTGCACGTATGCCATTTCACTTATCAGATTTATTTATTTTTTGCCTACTTGTATTGAAATATAATTGTCATATAACATTGTATTAGTTTAAGGTGTACAACGTAATGATTTGGTTATCTCTATATTGCAAAATGATCACCACAATAAATCTAGTTAACATCTATCACCATACATAGTTACAAAATTTATTTTCTAGTGATGAGAACTTTTAAGATCTACTCTTTTACCAACTTTCAAATATAACGATACAGTATTGTTAACTGTAATCACCTTATTGCACATCACATCCCCGGAATTTATTTATCTTTTAAGTGGAAGCTTATATCTTTTGACGACCCTCATCATTTCCTCCAGCCGCCAACCCTATCTCTGGCAACCACCAATCTTTTCTCCACTTAGATTTAGAGTGACATCTGTCGCCGTACTCCCACAGTACTTGACACCATGTCTGCCACTCAATAAATATTGAACAAATGAGTGAAATGTATTTTTACCTCTATTAACATCTTTCCCATTTCAGATGAATTGTTTTACTATTTCTTTGAGATTGCATTATGTTTCTTTCTTTCTTTTTTTTTTTATAATTTTATTTATTTATTTTTTTCCCCCAAAGCCCCAGTAGATAGTTGTATGTCATAGTTGCACATCCTTCTAGTTGCTGTATGTGGGACATGGCCTCAGCATGGCCGGAGAAGCGGTGCGTTGGTGCGCGCCAGGGATCCGAACTCGGGCCGCCAGCAGAGGAGCGTGCGCACTTAACCGCTAAGCCATGGGGCCGGCCTGTATTATGTTTCTTTTTTACGAGGACTCAAGACAGAAGTAAAGCTCAGGGAAATTAGTTTGTAGAAATGGAACGATAGATATTTCTAGACCCAACTGATTGTGTTAATGACTACCTACGTCTCTCAGTCGTCAATTGGATTTTTTTCTTTCACTTCTAGTGTATATACATTTGAATGCTTCCAAGTGACCTTGAACAGGGAGGTAAAGAATAAATGGAAGGGTACAATGACGATTAGGTTGTGAAAACACCGCCTGACCTTACCTGGGCACTCAATAATTTGCAGATCACAGGAAATCTATATCACAGAATACATTTTCATTTTTAAGGAATTTTATTTGGTGAGAAGCCTACTTGTGAGTTAATGTGGGGTGGAGGTATCCAGTACAAAACCTGTATCAGATTGACGAAATGTCAAATAGTGGAATGTATCCTTAGAATTAGTTTTTCTCATTCAAGTATTTACTAACATAAAATACTAATGTGTCTAGTGTTAGTGTCATTCATTATCAGGGAGTACGAAGGGTTTAGATGTGTATTTATGTATTTCTAAAAGTATTTTATGTATTTCTAAAAGTATATCTAAAAGTATTTACTTTTAGAATGCTAAAATTTCATATTTATAATGCTGCACTTAATTCATCCATTCAAAAATACTTACTGAGTACCTAGGCGCTGTTCTGGGCTCTGGGAATACAGCAATGAAGCAAACAACAGGTCATATTCTAAATTTCATAACCAAATGATGTGTGTAATAAGAAATTTTCTTTGCAATTTATCTAAAACAAATTATTTCTGTTATGGAAAATTCTGCATATACTATTGTATTATAAACATATTTGAATCTCTATTTTGATATTAAATAAGCAATATATAAGATTGATAAGAAATCTAAGTTAATAAACTAAATTGATATCTAATTGTTTTTGCAATTATTGCAATAATTTTGCAATTATTAATTATTGCAATAGTAATAATTCATATTATAAATATATTTGAAATCTATTTAGACTTTGCTTTCATGACAAGACAATATTTCATTCACATAATATAGCTCTCAATGTTTTACCATAGTTTTGCTCAAGATTCATGAGTCTTAGGCCATGGGATATTGTGATGTGATCTAAGAATGCCTTAATGTTGCTCTGAATCTATGTGTATATTGAACGTTGTCAGTAGGTTTCATTAGCATGCACTCTACTTTTCAATGTATAATTCTGTACTGCAAGATCATATAAGTGTGACGCAAATTTTACTCATGTTAGTTACCCATTTTCTCAATCAACAGATATTTCAAGTTTAATTGTTAACAGAGATAGTGTGAAATATTTTGACATGAAAATTGTTCCTGTACTTGAAGAGAATTAGATCATAACGCCACTAGGGGGCTCACGCACCATGTGTGTAAATCATGTGGCAGCACACATCCACATACACTTCTGGATACTTAAAAAGGACGTAATAGCTGGGACAATAATACCATATTCAGTAGTTTTGTGTGGTGGGTTAAGAAATAATATTCTTACCACAAGAGGAAAAGGCACAATAACAGAAGATTCTAGAAAATACATTAAACAGGTGTAACTTATCAGGGAAGTTAGCAATGAGGGGTCAAAAATTGAAACTGGAGAAATGTTAAAGTCTGGTATTAGTCTCTATGAACACTTCTTCTGTCAGAACCTGCCTATCGCTACAGGACCGTTAGCTCTAGCTATTGTCTTGGAGTCCTAGGGTTGAACAGAATTACTTTTGCACAAATAACATTACACAGTATTAATTCAATTGTCTCTTGTAATTGAGAAGACTTATTTGTAATCAATTAAAAAAATCTTTAGCTGGTTCATTTTCTTTAGAATAAGGTTGTATCAATATTCTTTCATTTTTATAGAGACCCTTATAAAGAAATTTGATTCCTTTCTTACATAATTTACATTCAGATGTTCCTAACCAAGAGTATTCTTAAATATTTTATGAATTCCATTTATATTTCTTTTGCTTTGTTTACAATCCAGGGGCAGTTCAGCATTAATTTAGCAGGAACTGGGATGAAGATATCCAGCACAGCGAAGTGGCTTGCTCAGGGGACTTATGCCTCTGTCATCATACACAGATCACAAGTAAGTTCTGCTGGACCAAAAAGCCTATTTGAAATAATTCTGTGCTGTGAATTAGCATTAAAGGTCCTCTACTTTAAATTTAGAGTTATGTGAGGTTAATGACTAATGAGTTATTGCATATAATGTGGTATATTACATATAATGGGGCATAACATTAATTTATGAAATTATGGAACTGGGTTCATTTTTATTAATGTGCATATGTAGCTTTTATATGGAAACAAACTCATGTCCAGGCTACAGATATCTGAATATGAAATATCAAGTGCCAGGGCATATGGATTTTATCTAGCTCAAATAACTTGAAATGCAGGTACTTCAAAAACAGGTAGTGTTTTTAGCTATACTTTAATCATTAAAGATTTGTAAGTTTTAATATTTCATGGGGAGGGGTAAATGTTTGGTTTATTTACCTCACTGCTTTGATTTAGTGCTGGGGGTGGTGTTAGAGCCATTTGTCATTTAACAAATATCCTTCACAGTTTCTTCAAGAATTAAGACTATTTTTTTATGGCTGTGCCAATATTTTCCTCTATCTTTATGTAGATAACATTGTTATTTGGCTTTTCCCTATAGCACATGTATAATCTAAAGCAGAACCCATTTAACTTTGTGGCTGGTATGGTGTACTAACATGTACACTCTACGATATGGCTCCCATCACTTACAGTCACCATGTTGCAGACAGCATGGCGCTATCTACAGTAAATCAGGATCTGTAAGTGTGCTCACCTATACTGCACATACATCAGCACCATCAACAGCCCCTGCCTGCTCTAACATTTTATGATTTTTCTTTCTTTTGATAAAAATGACTTCTGGTACACTCCTATTTATATGAATATTCTTTGTAAATGAAATTCAATTTTCTGATATTCATAGCCTTTAAAACATTCTATTTCTGAAGACTATGAAATTGTGTTTTAATTAATAATTAAAGCATTTTAATTTTTATTATTTCTGTCATATGGGTAAGCAGTAGGCTTTCAAAAAAATGGCTATTTATTTTGAAAGATTTATTTGGCATAGTTAAGTCTAATTTCTTTTGGCAGAAGAATGGGAATTAATTACTTAAAGTATATTCTGAGCAGGTATAAATGTAGAGAGTTCAATGGAATATTCTGACCTTATTTATCTAGCTTTTAGCTGTCTTTTGGTTAAATGTAAAGACTGAACTCTGGCTAAGGTCACCAGTAGATATGAATATTTAGTGCAATCAGTTCTTTTGCTTCTATTTAAGTTCTATTCTAAAGACTAAGTAATTAACGAATTGAGAATTTCTACATCAATGAAAAATGTTGCACATGAAAGTATTTCCTGAAATCTGATGCCTAGTGTGAAACCGAGACTTATGAAACCCAAATATACTTATGGAAATGAAACGTATTTTCATTTGCCGGTACGTTAAATCAAGATTAAGTTTTTCCTTAAACAGTCTGTTTGGCAATAGGAATGTATATAGATTGGAATTTTTACTGCCATTCTCTTCTCTATTTACTCAGATTCTCTAGAGATAAAAGGGCTTCTGAAAGAAAGGGCAACTTCAAAAGCTCCTGATCTCAAAACATTCTTTATCCCAAAATGTTCCAGGAACCCAGAGTTTCCTTCTCCAGCCTTCCTCTTCGATTAAAAAACAAAACAAAAAAAACGTACTTTCTCCAGAAAGTACAGGAGTTCAACTTGTTTTTGTCTCATCCTATCACAATTTCTTCACAGTCTTTTGACTTTTGGAGCTAAAGATGGGAGGCAGTTAAGAGAGAAAATCTATCATGTCCTGGCCACCCCTTCGCCACCTCTGCCCCTCCATTCCTCAGTGAGTGGCTCTGCTTTCTAAAAAAGACTCTCTCTTTTTATTCCTTTTCTAATTACAGTTATTGCTTTCAGCCCAGTTTTTCTCCCCATTTTACCACCTTTTATATTTTTCTTAGGCTGTGTTTCTAATGCTTCCATGAGATGTTGGAGATTAATGGGGTAGAATATGACTCATGTACAGTTAAGGTGAAGTTTGTATACTGTCTTTCTTTTATTTAGTCTATGAGAATCTTATATAAAATCATGTAAATATTGGGCAGTAAATTGAGAGAGGTTTTAATAAACTCACCAAAGCAAATAGATACCTTGATGGAAAATACGTGGATTGATATGAATTGTATAAATTATAGTGTGGTTTATAATCATCAAATAGCTAGTATGACTCTCAGGTTATCTAATAACCATGACTACAAATTTGACCTAATTCTGAAATGATATGATCTTTGACCTCAAATTCAGTTGTTCCAGGAAACCTCAGCTAATGATTTCAGCCACACCATTCAAAGCATTTGCTTTTTCTGCCTCGTGCACGCAGATACAAGCTTATATAAGATTCTCCTGTATTTCTGCCTCTGCCTATTTTCAGGATGGAACCAAAGTCTACGGCAGATGTGGAGGCTTCTGTGGAAAGTGTGTTCCTCACATGACTACTGGTCTTCCAATTCAAGTAATATGAACATTCAGAAGTGGGAGGTATGTCCCACAGAGGAGATATCTCTGGAATCTCAAATAACTGGTGCTCGTTTCTTTAGTCTTCCCTTTCAAAGGTTTCCATGTCCAACATATCTGTGCCTTTTTTTCAAGGTGCTCATCAGGGAGTCAAGTCACTGCTTAATTTTCTCAAGGCCTTCAAATTAATCTTAACAGATATATGACTCTAATCAGAATCTTTTTAAAAGGACTTAATAATTTATGGTAGGGTATACAGGAATATTTGAATGAATTATACAAAGATAATGTTGCTGTTAACAGCTTGGACTGGACCACAATTATGTTATACCTATAAACACATTTGTAAATCTCTACCGTATCCTACTGTACAGTGAAATGTTTATTCTACTTCCTGTTAAAATGGAACAAGTTAAAATTAGGAAAATGAACTCATCCAAAACTACTGTAATCTTTATTGAGCCTGTCAGGTGAATGGTAAATCAATAGTCACATCAGAAAAGTACATAGCCATTATACTTTCTACTGATACAGTTTAGATACCTTGTTTTATATTTATTTTAATTTTTAATTGTGGATTATGGTGCTTCAAATAAAAAAATAGTCCTAAACATGTGGTACAAATTTTGTGTTAAAAACATATGCTTGGGTTAAATACTAAATATGAAATTTTGTGGGTATAATACAGAAGAAGATAGGATATAGTAGAATTTGATTTAAAATATCTACCTCTAATTTTATTGTACTTATAAGAGCAATACGTTGTTTTTATAATGTTTATATTCTATTATGCCTTTATAACTCTTACATATGTATATATCTACTCGTAAAAAATCTGTTTTCTCAAAGTTATGTACTGTATTTTATTAATCAAATAGACAAATGAGAATTATTGAAATTTTGAAGATCCTATTTTGGTAAACATAAAATTATGTTTACCCATGCAAAATTTTTAGTAGATATGTTCAAGTTACTTTATCTGGGGTTTCTCAAAACCAGAATATAAAAGATAGTATAAAAATTAACTATTCATGGGCAAATTCTCAGGTATTGAGATTTTTTTCAGGTGGATAATTTAATCCACCTGAAATTTAATGTATTATATAACAATGTGAATTTGAAAGAATGATAGACAAATAATATTTTTCTACGGCAACCTACTCTGTAAACCGAAAAACTGAATCTACTAATGGATTTTTGTCAGTAAATAGTAGTTTACTAGTTTTACCCACAAAATTTTTTTTCCAAACATTTTTTAGGGGTGTATTGTACCATATAAGGTACTAAAGCAATTTTGTGCCAATGTGGTTAGATAAACATTTGGGGGTCTCTGTATCAGAAAAGAAGTATTTTGCACTGTGTGCCTTAAACCAGTTACAAACATTAATATGAAATGTGTAACATTTTCTAGAAATGTTTTCATTCATAATTAAAATCATAATTTATAAACATTTAAATAATAAACATATTTGTGTGATACATTAGAACTTTGTTTTCATTTTCCTTGCGTGTAAAAAAAAGAATCCTTCACCAAAAATTCTATAACTCTAAAATCACTTCAGAAAAGCTAAGAAATTTTTTATTCAGATTGTTGCAGTTGGGATGGAAATGGCTCCTATCTGGTGTACACCCTTCTCACGGCAGAGGAAATATGGCCAAGAGGCTGACAAAAACTTGCCATGCCTTTAAAAGCTTCTATTCATACAAAGGATACACATGTCTACTCACATTCAATTGGCCAAGTCAAATCACATGACCAAGTCCTAGTCAACGGGGTAGGGAAATATCCTCCCCCTACAGGGCAGGATGGCCACACACATGGAAATGGGTGAGGACTTACAATCCTCTCCCAAGGAGGGAGGAGATCCTTGTGAACAATATGTTATACCCATCCATCTTCAACTTCCCTAGAAATTGCCAAATTACTTCTCCAAAGCAGTTAAATCAATTTAAATTACTGCTAGCAGAGTGTAAAAATTTTGGAGTATCCACATCCTCAATGACGTGAATTTATTTTTTCTGATCTGATGGAGTATGGCATAGTAGTTCACTGTCTGAATTTACATTTATCTGATCACTAGATGGGATGTGGATCCTTTCATTTATTTTTGCCATTAGGTTTCTTTTTGTGAGAATTGCTTGTTCATTTTTTGTTCACTTTTGCCTCTCCTCTCCTCAACCTTTCCCACCTCCCCCACCCCCCACCCCACCTTCCAAATAAAAAAGGAATAAGAATGAAAAGAAATAAACATATAAGAAACTAAAGCAGTTTTATGTGAAAGTGATTTAAAACGTATAAGAAACCCTTATCAAAAAGCATGCTTTTATGTTGTAGCTATTAGTTGCAAATATTAACATACGGTGTATACTAATTTTCTATACTTTTTTATCATCTAAAATGAAGTGCTCTCTACATCTGTTTTATCTATTTTTCCTACTGTTTAATGAGAAAAGATTTCCCTGCTCATGTCAAACGCTAATTTCCCAGTCTCTGCTCTTGATTTCCTCCCACTCTGAATTCTCTAGGACCTTTTCCCACAGACTATTCTCTCTCCCTTTCCTTTCTCTCTCCACTGGCTCCTTCTCTTCATCCAAAACCATATTCAACCCTGCCCCCCCCCCCATCACTATTCACTCTCTCGTCTTCCTCTCACTGTCAAACTTCCTGAGAGAAACAGCTATCCTCACAGTCTCTTCATCTTTACCTTTCGGTCAAGCTTTGTTCCATTATAACATGGCTTCCAACCCTCAATATTTCATCAACACTTCTTTCACTAAAGTCACAAAGGAACTGCTAAGCACAGTTACATATGTTGAGTTCTTTTCCTTTTGATTTCTGAATAGCATTTGGCAAGGGAGAGGGAGAGTTCCATGAAATGCTGTGATGACTTTAATGGTCCAGCATATGGTCTATCTCTGTACATATTCCATGTGCATTTGAAAATAATGCGTATTCTGCACTAATTTTGTGTAGTTTTATGTAAGTAAATTGTGTCGTTAGTTTATTGTATTGTTCAAATCTTTTTTATATCTTTATTTTTTTTCTAATTGCAGTATCAATTATTGAGAGATACAATTTTTCTAATTGTAGTGTCAATTATTATAGTGTTGAGATTTTTTTCTAATTGTAGTATGGACTATTTTTCTAATTATAGTACTGATTATTAACTGTTGATTAAATTATCCTACTAATAGAATGTTAATACTAATATTCTATTAATTCTATTAATGTTAAATTCTTCAGCTATAATTGTGTATTTGTCTATTTCCCCCTTTAGATCCACCAATATTTTTCACGAATTTAGAAGCTCTGTTATTAGGTATATACATGTTTATGAGTTTTATGTCTTTTTGATGACACGTCTTTTTGACATGTATGATAATGTGGTGTCTTTTTGATGCTCTTATCCTTATGAAATATTCCTATATGTCTCTAGTAATACTTCTTGCCTTAAAGTTTACCTTGGTATTAAAATAACTACATCAGCTTTCTTTTAATTAGCGTTTGGATGATATATCTTTTGCCATCCTTTATTTTTAACCAATATATATCTTTATATTTAAAATGTCTTTTGTAACTAGCATATAATTGTTCTGTTTTTTTTATTTTTAAATCCAGTTTGACAATCTTCTTTTCTTGAAGAATTTGAGAGCATTTATATTTAATGCAATCATTGATATGGTTGGATTTCAGTCTACTGTCTTGTTATTTGTATTCTGCCTCATACATTCTTTCTTTCATCATTCCTCCTATTTTGCCTTCTTTTGAATTAATTGACTATTTTTGTATTCAATTTTATATTCTCTTTTCATGTACACGTCTTTATATTTTTAGTGTTTGTCCTAGGGATTCCAATATATATCCTTAACCTATCACAATCTATCTTGAATGTTATAAACTCCAAATACATTTTTATATAAATTTGTTTTAATCAAGTGTCTTTCAAAATAAATAAGGGGCCAGCCCCTTATGGGCTCACGCACTCCACTTTGGCAGCCTGGGGTTCACAGGTTCGGATCCCAGGCATGGACCTACATGCTGCTCATCAAGCCAAGCTGTGGTGGCATTCCATATATAAAATAGAGGCAGATTGGCACAGATGTTAGCTCAGGGACAATCTTACTCAAGCAAAAAGAGGAAGATTGGCAACAGATGTTAGTTCAGGGCCAATATTACTCACCAAAATAAATAAATAAAATAAATAAATAAATAAATAAGATATAAAATTATCCTTTATATATAGCCACATATTTATTATTTCCTGCTCTCTTTATTCTTTCCTATAGATCTGAGTTTCTATTATCATTTCTCTTCAGCTTGAAGAACTTTCTCTATAATTTATTATAGTATGAGTCTGCTGACCCAAATTCAGCTTTCATTTGTCTGAATGTCCTTATTCACCTCCATATTTTTAAACTTTATCTATAAATGTTGATATAATTTAAAATTTACAAAAAATTGCAAGAATAGTACAAATAGCTACCATATGTCCTCTAGCTGGAGTCACTAGTTTTTAATATTTTGCTGTATTTACTACATCATTCTCTTTCTCTCTTTTTTTATGTATACATTAGATATATACACAGACCTATGTATACACATATTATTTATTCTTAATAATTAGAGAGTAGGTTGATTATCTCATGACCTCTTACTTCATAATACTTTAGTATGTATTTCTTAAGAAAAAATTTATTCTCTTATGTAACCATGACACAGTTATGAAATTCAGAAATTTACCACTTAATTTCTTAACAGACTTCAAAACACACAATTTATTTTGGATACGCTAGTGGTGTGAATGATGGTGGTGTGAGTGCCATGCTTAATTGATCCTTCTCTTCTCATATCCCACTCTTTCTCTACCTTAAATAAAATTATCTCACATTATTATACACTTGAAATGCTTGAATTTCTCACAAGTATTAGCTCAATTGACCCTTCTATAAATATTTCCAGGACCATTTTATCTGGAATATTTTATTTTTAATTTCTCATGTATTCTATTTCTTTCTTTTGTTTTTTAATTTTTTAAAAAATTATTTTTTTGTTTGTTTATTGCAGTAACATTGGTTTTTAACATTGTATAAATTTCAGGTGTACATCATTATACTTCTATTTCTGCATAGATTACATCATGTTCACAACTCAGATAGTAATTACAACCCATCACCACACACATGTGCCGAATTATCCCTTTCGCCGTCCTCCACCCCCCTCCACCTCTGGTAACCACCAATCCAATCTCTGTCTCTATGTGTTTGTTTATTGTTGTTATTATCTACTACTTAATGAAGGAAATCATATGGTATTTGACCTTCTCCCTCTGACTTATTTCACTTTGCATAATACCCTCAGTGTCCATCCATGTTGTCACAAATGGCTGGATTTCATCATTTC